GAGTCTGCCTGGAGTCTACGTGGAGTCTACGTGGAGTCTACGTGGAGTCTACGTGGAGTCTTCCTGGAGTCTGCCTGGAATCTACCTGGAGTCTATCTGGAGTCTACGTGTAGTCTACCTGGAGCCTACCTGGAGTCTACATAGAGTCTACCTAGAGTCTACCTGGAGTCCATCTGGAGTCTACCTGGAGTCCATCTGGAGTCTACCTGGAGTCTACCTGGAATCTACCTGGAATCTACCTAGAGCCTACCTGGAGGGTGTCCAGGGGTCAACGCCCCCGCGGCCCGGTCCATAACCAGGTCACTGGGCACCGACACATGTCAATTGTCCCTATAATTTTGCCTCGGTTATCGTACACCTGCGTTGAAAAATTTAATCTTTTCAGATGAGGCTGTCACTTGTTTTGACCGAAATGAAAATAGAAAGTCGTAAGAAAAAAATAGAAAAAATCTGATTTGTTGGCTCATCTTCGGAAATCTGATTAGAAAAAATTCCCAGGAAATGTTATAATTATCTTAGCATATAAATTAACCATAAGTATAATAAAGAGGCAAAAATTAAGAGAATTTTCCATCTGGGAGAAGAAAATAATTAAAAATAAAATCAACAAAGAGGATTCAAAAAAATTATAACGAAATATTTTATTGCAAATAAAGAACATAATATGAACGTATTACTCGGCTGGTGCTAGAGCCGATGAGGTGGTAGCAAATAAGCTCATCTTGTTGGCTCACTCACTAGGCTGCTTAAGTAAGGAAAGTAATTAGTGGTGTGCGCTTGGCACTCGGCTGCCGCACCAGGCAAGACTCAGACTCGGCTGCCGCACCAGGCAAGACTCAGACTCGGCTGCCGCACCCAGGCAAGTCACACACTCGGCTGCCAGACCAGGCAAAACTCACACTCAGCTGCCACACCAGACAAGACTCAGACTCGGCTGCCACACCAGGAAAGACACACACTCGGCTGCCACACCAGGCAAGACACACACTCAGCTGCCTCACCAGGCAAAACTCGGACTCAGCTGCCACCCCAGGCATGACACACACTCGGCTGCCACCCCAAGCAAGACTCACACTCGGCTGCCACACCAGGAAAGACATACACTCGGCTGCCACAACAGGCAAGACACAGACTCGGCTGCCACGCCAGACAAGACACACACTCGGTTGCTACACCAGGCAAGACTCACACTCGGCTATCACACAAGGCAAGACTCAGACTCGGCTGCCACACCAGACATGACTCAGACTCGGCTGCCACATCAGGCAAGACTCACACTCGGCTGCCACACCAGACAAGACACACACTCGGCTGCCTCACCAGGCAAGACACACAATCGGCTGCCACACAAGGCAAGACACACACTCGGCTGCCACGCCAGACAAGACACACACTCGGCTGCCACACCAGACAAGACTCAGACTCGGGTGCCACACCAGGAAAGACACACACTCGGCTGCCACACCAGGCAAGACACACACTCGGCTGCCACACCAGGCAAGACACACACTCGGCTGCCACACCAGGCAAAACTCGGACTCAGCTGCCACCTCAGGCAAGACTCACACTCGGCTGCCGCACCAGGCATGACACACACTCGGCTGCCACACCAGGCAAGACACAGACTCGGCTGTCACATCAGACAAGACACACTCGGCTGCCACACCAGGCAAGACACACACTCGGCTGCTACACCAGGCAAGATTCACACTCGGCTACCACACCAGGCAAGACTCAGACTCGGCTGCCACACCAGACATGACTCAGACTCGGCTGCCACATCAGGCAAGACTCACACTCGGCTGCCACACCAGAAAGACACACACTCGGCTGCCTCATCAGGCAAGACACACACTCGGCTGCCACACCAGGCAAGACATACACTCGGCTGCCACGCCAGACAAGACAACACTCGGCTGCCACACCAGGCAAGACACACACTCGGCTGCCACACCAGGCAAGACATACACTCGGCTGCCACGCCAGACAAGACACACACTCGGCTGCCACACCAGGCAAGACACACACTCGGCTGCCACACCAGGCAAGACACACACTCGGCTGCCTCACCAGGCAAGACACACACTCGGTCGCCACGCCAGACAAGACACACACTCGGCTGCCACACCAGGCAAGACACACACTCGGCTGCCTCACCAGGCAAGACACACACTCGGTCGCCACGCCAGACAAGACACACACTCGGCTGCCTCACCAGGCAAGACACACACTCGGCTGCCACACCAGGCAAGACACACACTCGGCTGCCACACCAGGCAAGACACACACTCGGTCGCCACGCCAGACAAGACACACACTCGGCTGCCTCACCAGGCAAGACACACACTCGGCTGCCACACCAGACAAGACACACACTCGGCTGCCACACCAGGAAAGACACACACTCGGCTGCCACACCAGGAAAGACACACACTCGGCTGCCACACCAGACAAGACACACACTCGGCTGCCACACCAGGAAAGACACACACTCGGCTGCCACACCAGGAAAGACACACACTCGCTGCCACACCAGACAAGACACACACTCGGCTGCCACCAGGAAAGACACACACTCGGCTGCCACACCAGAAAGACACACACTCGGCTGCCACACCAGGCAAGACACACACTCGGCTGCCACACCAGGCAAGACACACACTCGGTCGCCACGCCAGACAAGACACACACTCGGCTGCCTCACCAGGCAAGACACACACTCGGCTGCCACACCAGACAAGACACACACTCGGCTGCCACACCAGACAAGACACACACTCGGCTGCCACACCAGGAAAGACACACACTCGGCTGCCACACCAGGCAAGACACACACTCGGCTGCCACACCAGACAAGACACACACTCGGCTGCCACACCAGACAAGACACACACTCGGCTGCCACACCAGACAAGACACACACTCGGCTGCCACACCAGGAAAGACACACACTCGGCTGCCACACCAGGCAAGACACACACTCGGCTGCCACACCAGACAAGACACACACTCGGCTGCCACACCAGGAAAGACACACACTCGGCTGCCACACCAGGAAAGACACACACTCGGCTGCCACACCAGGAAAGACACACACTCGGCTGCCACACCAGGCAAGACACACACTCGGCTGCCACACCAGACAAGACACACACTCGGCTGCCACACCAGACAAGACACACACTCGGCTGCCACACCAGGAAAGACACACACTCGGCTGCCACACCAGGAAAGACACACACTCGGCTGCCACACCAGGAAAGACACACACTCGGCTGCCACACCAGGAAAGACACACACTCGGCTGCCACACCAGGCAAGACACACACTCGGCTGCCACACCAGACAAGACACACACTCGACTGCCACACCAGACAAGACACACACTCGGTCGCCACGCCAGACAAGACACACACTCGGCTGCCTCACCAGGCAAGACACACACTCGGCTGCCTCACCAGGCAAGACACACACTCGGCTGCCACACCAGGCAAGACACACACTCGGCTGCCCTCACCAGGCAAGACACACACTCGGCTGCCTCACCAGCAAGACACACACTCGGCTGCCTCACCAGGCAAGACACACACTCGGCTGCCTCACCAGGCAAGACACACACTCGGCTGCCACACCAGGCAAGACACACACTCGGCTGCCACACCAGGCAAGACACACACTCGGCTGCCTCACCAGGCAAGACACACACTCGGCTGCCACACCAGGCAAGACACACACTCGGCTGCCTCACCAGGCAAGACACACACTCGGCTGCCTCACCAGGCAAGACACACACTCGGCTGCCTCACCAGGCAAGACACACACTCGGCTGCCACACCAGGCAAGACACACGAAAAATTTCCAAAGTCCTTGTCATTTCTTGTTAAATTTCCCAAGATGTTCTTATTAAATGGCGAAAGAATTTACTAAGTGAACCCAATTATCCAGGTTACATTCTTGATAAATTAGACACATGTGCAACACTTGGGTATCTTTATTAAGGAAACGTTTCGCCACACAGTGGCTTCATCAGTCCATGCAAAGGAGAATCTTGAAGAACAGGAGGAGAATGAGGTGGAAATATAAACACATATGCAGCACAATGAGATCCTTCATCGACCACGCCTCGCCCATACAGTGGGCTTTTTCAAGTCACAAACAGAACTACCTGGGGTTGACTTGAAAAAGCCCACTGTATGGGCGAGGCGTGGTCGATGAAGGGTCTCATTGTGCTGCATATGTGTTTATATTTCCACCTCATTCTCCTCCTGTTCTTCAAGATTCTCCTTTGTATGGACTGATGAAGCCACTGTGTGGCGAAACGTTTCCTCAATAAAGATACCCAAGAGTTGCACATGTGTCTAATTTATCAACATGTCGGTTCTCTGAACCATTCATCTACAGGTTACATTCTTGTTATTTGAGAGAGATAGCGAGAGAAATAGCGAGAGAGAAAGAGAGAGAGACAGAGAGAGATATAAGAAAGGCAGAGTTTACCAGAAGACAGATGACACCATAAATCTCTCACAACTTTCCATACCACAACCTCGCTCCTCGTTGGAGAAAATATTACCCAAAAAATATTGGGTCACATTTTTGTGTTTACAAGCTCTGTTGATGTCAGTTTTTTGAGCGAATGTGTTAAGACAGAATTTTTGTGCATGAGATGAAAATTGTACAAAATGCGGACAGAATTAAGACATATTTGCAACAGTTGGGTATTTTTATTGTTGAAATGTCCCGTCTACACAGTAGGCTTCTTCAGTCAAATACAGATATAACAGGTGAAGTAAACAAAAAGAGATTAGGTAGTCAGCCCATTAACAAACGAGAAATATTATTTACTATGGTCAGTCCTTCAGCCTGGAGAGGAGTTCATCCTCATGGGTCTGGAACTACGTCGTTCCAGACCCATGGAGATGAACTCCTGTCCAGGCTGAGGGACCGACCACCTCATATCTCCAAAGTTGGTGGACTGACTACAACATCTTTTAAACATAAGAACATAAGAATGTAGGAACACTGCAGAAGGCCTACTGGCCCATACGAGGCAGGTCCTTATCAAAACGACATCTACCTAAAGCTACTCAAGAAATAACTCCCGTACCCCTTGACACCAATCAAACCCAGCCCCTCCCACTCATATATTTGTCCAGTCTCTTCTTAAAGCTACCCAAGGTCCTAGCCTCTATCACTCCACTGGGAAGACTGTTCCACGCATCTACAACTCTGTTAGAAAACCAGTACTTACCTATGTCCTTTCTAAATCTAAATTTATCCAACTTAAATCCATTATTCCTGGTTCTTACCTGGTTCGACACCCTCAGTACTTTATTAATGTCTCCCTTGTTTATGCCCGTCATCCACTTATACACTTCAATGATATCTCCCCTCATTCTAAGCCTCTCCAGAGAGTGGAGATTTAAGGCTTTAAGTCTATCTTCATACGGGAGGTTCCTTACACAGTAAATCATTTTAGTCATTCTTCTCTGTATGTTCTCTAATGAGTCTATGTCCATCCTGTAGTAAGGGGACCAAAACTGAGCAGCATAATCTAAATGAGGCCTCACTAGTGATGTATAGAGCTGTAAAATAACTTTTGGACTTCTGTTACTTATACTTCTTGAGATAAATCCAAGTAATCTGTTGGCCTTGTTACGCACACTGAGGCACTGCTGTCTTGGCTTTAGATTTCTGCTTACCATGACTCCCAAGTCTTTTTCACATTCTGTATGACCAAGCTCTACTTCACCTAGATTATAGCTTTGAGGGTTATTTTCATTACCAAGGGCAAGTACCTTACACTTATTGAACATTAAAATGGTATAAAATACCGACAGGTTGTTAGGCAAGACACATATGCAACAGTTAGGTATCTTTATTATGAAACGTTTCGCCTACACAGTAGGCTTCTTCAGTCAAGTACAGAAAAGTTGATAGAAGCAGAAGATACTTGAAGACGATGTAATCAGTCCATCACCCTTAAAGTTTTGAGGTGGTCAGTCCCTCAGTCTGGAGAAGAGCATTGTTCCATAGTATGAAACAATATGGAGAAGAAGTGACAGGATGGAGCTTTTTATAGCGCCAAGAGGTGAGACGTAGGAGAGGTAAGAACTCAGATGTTGAGAGGTCCCTCTCAAATCCAGCCCCTCTCACTAGTGGAAGTTGTCGAAGTTCTTACCTCTCCTACGTCTCACCTCTTGGCGCTATAAAAAGCTCCATCCTGTCACTTCTTCTCCATATTGTTTCATACTATGGAACAATGCTCTTCTCCAGACTGAGGGACTGACCACCTCAAAACTTTAAGGGTGATGGACTGATTACATCGTCTTCAAGTATCTTCTGCTTCTATCAACTTTTCTGTACTTGACTGAAGAAGCCTACTGTGTAGGCGAAACGTTTCATAATAAAGATACCTAACTGTTGCATATGTGTCTTGCCTAACAACCTTACACTTATCCACATTAAACTTCATCTGCCATTTCTCAGACCAAGACATTAATTTGTTCAAATCGTCCTGGAGTTCATTGATATCCTCCTCAGAGTGAATTATACGGCCTATCTTTGTATCATCAGCAAACTTACTCATGTCACTAGTAATCCCTTCATCAAGGTCATTAATGTAAATTATGAACAAGAGAGGGCCTAAAACTGATCCTTGTGGAACGCCACTAGTGACTAATCCCCATTCAGATTTCACTCCATTAATGGTAACTCTCTGCTTTCTATTGGTAAGCCATGCCTCAATCCATGCTAGAACTTTACCTCCTATACCATGAGCTGCCACTTTTCTTAAGAGTCTCTTGTGAGGTACTCTGTCGAAGGCTTTACTAAAATCCAAATAAACAATATCATATTCCTTTTCACTGCTACACCTGTTGTCACCTGAAGATGCTTACTGTGACCAAACAGAAAGTTCTGATATGAGCGGAGGAAAAGATAAAGGAGAGTTAAGTGGAAGGAGACGGAAAGAAGCATAGAGAAGGAGGGAGTAAGAATAGAGAGAAAAGTAAAAACAAGGAAGAGGATGGTACAAAGAAAAGTAAGACGGTAAGAAGAACCATGGAAAAGACGGATAAGAAGCAAGTAGAGAGAGTAAGACACAGGGAGGGTAATAAATAGGTAGGGAGGGTAAAAAATAGGAAGGGAGGATAAAAAAAAGTGGTCAGTAGAATAAAGAGTGTGACACAGCAGTGTGGTAGTGTGACACAGCAGTGTGGTAATGTGACACAGCAGTGTGGTATTGTGACACCCCAGTGTAGTAGTGTGACACAGCAGTGTGGTAGTGTGACACAGCTGTGTGGTATTGTAACGCAGTAGTCTTGTAGTGAGGCACAGCAGTGTGGTAGTCTGACACAGCAGTGTGGTAGTCTGACACAGCAGTGTGGTAATGTAACGCAGCAGTGTGGTAGTGTTACACAGCAGTGTAGTAGTGTGACGCAGCAGTTTGTTAGTGTGACACAGCAGTGTGGTAATGTGACACCCCAGTGTAGTAATGTGACACAGCAGTGTGGTAGTGTAACACAGCAGTGTAGTAGTGTGACACAGCAGTATGGTTGGATGACACAGCAGTGAGGTAGTGTGACACCCCAGTGAAGTAGTGTGACACACCAGTGAAGTAGTGTGACACAGCAGTTTGTTAGTGTGACACAGCAGTGTAGTAGTGTGACACAGCAGTATGGTAGGATGACACAGCAGTGTGGTAGTGTGACACAGCAGTGTAGTAGTGTGACACAGCAGTGTGGTAGAGGGACACAAAGTGTGGGAGTGTGCAAAGCAGTGTGGAGGTGCACGCCGCAATTGAGTGGACACAGGAGTTCAGTAGTGTGACACAGCGGGGACTGTGACAAAAAAAGTGTGGTAGTGTAACACAGTAGTCTTGTAGTGGACCAGCAGTGTCGTAGTGTGACACAGCAGTTTGGTAAGTGACAAGCAGTGTGGTAATGTGAACAGTGTGTGGTAATGTGACACACAGGTGGTAATGTGAACACAGTGTGGGAGTGTTACACCGTGAGTAGCGTGCACAGCAGTGTGGGAGTGTACACAGCATGTGGTAGTCTGACACGCAGGTGGTAAGTAACGCAGCATGTGGGAGTGTTTCACAGCAGTGTAGTGTGTGACGCAGCAGTTTTTTTAGTGTGACACAGCAGTTGGTAATGGACACCCAGTGTAGTAATGTGACACGATGTGGTAGTTAACACAACAGTGTTAGTGGACCGCGTTGGTTGGATGAAAAGCGTGAGTAGTGTGACACCCCGTGAAGTAGTGTGACCAGCAGTTTTTATAGTGTGACACCTCAGGCAGTAATGTGACACAGAAGTTGTTAGTGTGACACGCAGTGGGTAGTGACACAGCAGTGGGGAGGGTGACACACCAGTGAAGTAGTGGACACAGCAGTTTGTTAGTGTGACCGCAGTGTAGTAGTGTGAAAAGCAGTAGGTAGGATACACAGCAGTTGGTAGTGTGACAAGCAGTGTATAGTGTACACAGCATGTGGTAGAGTGACACCAGTGTGGTATGTGACAAAGAGTGTGGTAGTTGACACAGCGGTTTTGTAGTGTGACACAGCAGTGTGGAGAGTGACACAACAGTGGGTAGTGGGGACAAAGCATGGGTAGAGTGCACAGCCGCAATGTGATGTGACAAAGGGGTGCGTAGTGTGACAAGGCGTGGTACTTGACAAAGAGTGGGTAGTGTAACACAGTAGTCTTGTATGGAAAAACAGTGTCGTAGTGTGGGCACAGCAGTGTGGAATGTGGCCAAACGTGTGGAATGTGACACAGTATGTGGGAAAGTGACAAACAGTGTGGAATGTGACACCAGTGTGGTAGTGTGACACAGAGTGGGTAGTGTTACACAACAGTGTGTATGTGAACAGCAGTGTGGTGTGGACACAGCAGTGTGGTAGGTGACACCTAAGTTAGTAGTGTGAACACCGTGTGGTAGTGTACACGCAGTGTGGTAAGTGAAACCTCAGTGTGTAGGGGAAAAGGTGTGGTAGTGTGAACACCGTGTGGTAGGTGCACACAGTGTAGTAGCATGACACGCAGTGTGGTAGTGTGATACAGATTGTAGGTTTTTACAGTTTAGTGTGGAACAGCGTGGGGTAGGTGACACAGCAGTGGGTGTGTAGCACCCCCGTGTATAGTGTACACAGCAGTGTGTTATTGTGACACAGCAAAGTGTGTGTGAACAGCAGTGCGGTAGTGTGACCAGCAGCGTGGGGGTGTGACACAGCATGCGGTGGGGGGGCACAGGGGGGGGCGTGGTAGTGTGAACCCGCAGTGTGGTAGTGTGAACGCAGCGTGTAGTGTGACACAGCTTGCGTAGTGTAACACGCAACGTGGGGAGGTGACACAGATTGGTAGTGTGACACAGCAGCGTGGAGTGCGAACAACAGTGTAGTAGTGTGGTAGTAGTGTGGTAGTGTACTGCAGTGTGGTAGAGTCGCAGCCGCGAAGTAGAGTGTGACACGGAGTGTAGTAGTGACACAGCTGTGGTACTGTGACGAAAGGTGAGGTACTGTGACACAGCAGGTGTGTGTGACTCAGCAGAGTCTATGTGTGACAAAGGGGCGTGGTAGGCGACACGCAGCTGTAGATGAAAAGAAGCGTGGGAGAGTGTGGCACGCAACCCTGGTAGTGTGAACAACAGCGTCGTAGAAGTAACACAGAATCATGGGAGAGTGGACGCAGCAGCGTGGGGGTGTGACACAGCATGTGGTAGAGGTTTACACGCAGCGGGTAGAATGTGACGAGCAGCGTGGAGGTGACACAGCGTATGAGTGTGATTCGCAGCGTGGTAGAGTTGGGCCAGCAGAGTTGAGTGTAACACAGCAGTCTTTTGCGGGACAAGAAGGTTGTGTGTGACAGCAGCGTGGGGTGGACTCAGCATGTGGTAGAGTGGACACACATCGTAGGAGGGGACTAGCAGTTGGGAAATTTGAACAGCAGCGTGGGAGTGTGATCAGCAGCGTGGGAGGGGGGACACAGCAGCGTGGTATTTTGACACAGCAGCGTGGGAGTGTGGCACAGTAGCGTTGGAGTGTGACACGGTAGCTTGGTAGAGTGTTACACTACAGAGTGGTTGTGTAACATAGCAGTGTTGTAACATCAGAGTGGTAGTGTGACACAGGAGCATGGTTGTGTGTGGCACAGGAACATGGTAGAATGTGACACAGCAGAGTTGCAGATTGTGACACAGCATCTTAGTAAAGTGTTACATTGCAGCGTGGTAGAGTGTGACACAGCTGCGTGGCAGAGTGTTGCACTGCGTCGTGGTTGAGTGTGACGCAGCAACATGGTACAGTGCGACACAGCAGCCATGAAGAGTGTAACATAGCAGCGTAGTAGAGAGTGACACACCAGTGATATAGTTTGTCACAGCAGCATGGTACACTGTGACACAGCAGCATTGAAGAGTGTGGCATAGCAGCGTGGGAGAGTGTGACACAGCAGCGTGGTAGTGTGTGGCACAGCAGCGTGATAGAGTGGGACACAGCATCGAGGTAGATTGTGGCACAGCAGAGTAATGGAGTATCACACAGCAGGGTGACAAATGGCACAGCAGCGTGGGAGAGTGTGACACAGCATTGTTTCAGTGTTACACGTCAGTGTGAAAATGTGACACAGCAATGGTTTAGTATGACACAGCAGTGTTGTAATGTGACACAGTAGCATGGTAGAGTGCGACACAGCAGCGTAGCGTATAATTCACAACAGTTTTGTAGTGTCATTGACAGTAGCGTTGTAGTGTGTCACAGTTGTGTTGTAGTGTGTCACAGTTGTGTTGTAGTGTCACAGTTGTGCTGTAGTGCGTCACAATTGTGCTGTAGTGCGTCACAGTTGTGTTGTAGTGCGTCACAGTTGTGCTGTAGTGCGTCACAGTTGTGCTGTAGTGCGTCACAGTTGTGATGTAGTGCGTCACAGTTGTGTTGTAGTGCGTCACAGTTGTGTTGTAGTGTGTCACAGTTGTGTTGTAGTGTGTCACAGTTGTGTTGTAGTGTGTCACAGTTTTGCAGTAGTGTGTCACAGTTGTGCTGTAGTGTGTCACAGTTGTGCTGTAGTGTGTCACAGTTGTGCTGTAGTGTGTCACAGTTGTGCTGTAGTGTGTCACAGTTGTGCTGTAGTGTGTCACAGTTGTGCTGTAGTGTGTCACAGTTGTGCTGTAGTGTGTCACAGTTGTGCTGTAGTGTGTCACAGTTGTGTTGTAGTGTGTCACAGTTGTGTTGTAGTGTGTCACAGTTGTGTTGTAGTGAGTCACAGTTGTGTTGTAGTGTGTCACAGTTGTGCTGTAGTGCGTCACAGTTGTGCTGTAGTGTGTCACAGTTGTGCTGTAGTGTGTCACAGTTGTGCTGTAGTGTGTCACAGTTGTGTTGTAGTGTGTCACGAGTGCCACGAGTTCTAGGGGAACTAGTTATAATAAGAACGAGATAGATATTGAAAAGCCAGGGACCTTGGGTGATAAGGACAGTAATAGGTTTAGTAGAAAAATAGAAATGAGCAGGAAGGGTAAAGAGAAAGGAGAGTCTTTCAATGTTTATTATGCTAATTGCCGTAGTGCTAGGAATAAGATGGACGAGTTGAGATTAGTTGCTAGTTCCGGTAACATTGATGTATTTGCCTTAACTGAGACGTGGTTTAATTCAAAAGTCGGGAAATTAGATCAAATAGAAATGACCCAAAATGGATGAATAATAGGCTCAAATATCTACTAGGGCATAAGAAAGGAATTTATAGGCGTATCAAAGAGCGCAGGGTCATCTTATGAATCAGT